CAAACAACACTGCCCTGAAAAAAAAAAAAAAAAAAAAAAAAAAGAATTTAAAAAAAAAAAAAGAGAGAAAAGTTCAGTAAAGATGAACTGCTACTCTAGAAATAGATTCATGGTTTTTTTTTTTTTAAAGCACTAACCCTTGTTTGTGATGATGTGATGCTTCCAAAATGTACACCGACGAGAGATTTGGGGTTGCTCTGAGACGTCCCGTTTCGCGGAGACGAGCACGGCTGTGGCGATGACGCTTCTGACGTGAGAGAGACCGGAGACTGGTTGGAGTGCTGGGCTGCACAGAGACAGAGGAGACATTTGCGTACACAACTGTAAACATGCAGTATCCATGATCACTTAATTATTACGTCGTCATCATCATCTTCTCATTCTGACTCGGGCATGCTTTCAATGTCATCATCATCATCATCTCCTCATTCTGACTCGGGCATGCTTTCAATTCCCTACTGCGGTTTTCTCCCATTGGTCGATCGGGCCTTTAGCTTTGCTGCACCAACCCTCTGGAACTCACTCTTATTTTTTTTTTTTTTTTAAATTTTTATGCACGTATATTAGGACTGGGTATTGAACAGTTACCTCGCAAAATTACACTATCACGATATATTGCCCACGGTAACGATAATATCACGATAATTGATATATTGCAATAACTTTTTTTTAACCACGATACGTCACGATATCTATATGGAACTAAGTGCTAAAAAAAAAAAAAAGTCATTTTTAAGCTAAAATACAAAACTCAATTTGAGCAAAGAGTCCTGGGTTTGATTCCCAGAGGAAACCAATATCACTAACGGCACCTCCCGTGTTGGTTGCAAAGACTCGCACTGTTTTCAGACAAATAAGGGACTTATTATAATTATTATTATTATTATGAATATATTTAACCATTTACAGTGAAACATTGAGAAACACAGGTAGCGCTGGTGCACAATTTTTTTGCAGAGTGAGACAGGAATCTTAAGCAAAAAAAAAAAAAAAAAGCGCTGGTGCCATACCTTGGTTGGAGTGCTGAGCAGCTGAGTGCAGAGCAGTGATGTTGAAAGCAGGTCCAGCAGTGAAGAGCTTATGAATGACAGACCGCAAGGAAGCTTGGGTGACAGCAGCTGTCAAGACTGGAGACACACACCCACGTGCACACACACACACAGAGAGAGAGACAAAGAAGGCAAGGGAAAAAAAAAAAAAAAGAGACACGGTTAAAGGAAGCACGAGTGAAATAATGATTGTGCTGTGACTTAAATCTCTCTCCGCTCGGAAACTTTATCCGATAACGGACCGTTGCCGCACACAGGCAAGCCCTGTCCTGACTGTGACACCACGTGGTGCAGAAGAAGAAAAGTAATGAACCAGAGAGGTGAGAGCAGGAAAGTCACTGTTACTAAAAAAAATGTTAAGTGCAAACGCATTAAACGCATTAATTAATGTAGACCCTAAAAAAAAAAAAAAAAAAAAAATCTCAACTTTTAACTGTAAAACACACCAGTCAGAGCTACTTTATTGGTACAGCTCCATTTATACACCAGGTAATTCCCAGTGTTTTACAGAGGCAGGAAAACACCAGGAGTAAAAGAGTGCAATTAAAATACAATCAATAAAAAAAAAAAAAAAAAATAAAAAATTTAAATAATGAATTGAAAAATATATTTTTGCTACAACTACTTGCGGAATGTAAATGTTCTTTTTTAAAGTGTTTAAACAAGAACCTTAAGTTCTTGAACTTAAGGGGTAGGGCACAAAAAAAAAATTTAAAAAACAGCAACAGATGTCAACATAAAGTTGTCAGTTGTCATGGAGACACGCGTATGCCTCGACACACAGACACATCAGGAAAGCAACGTTTAATGTATTGCAAATGGCGGGGGAAAATAGGGGACTCGAGACTTTTAAGACCCCGTGAAATAGCATGTAGAATATTATTTGTGCCATGTTTCCAAACCACACTGCCTTCTTTACCAAAAGGTTACCAAAAAATAAAGCAATAAAAAAAAAAAACTTAGAAAGTCAAATTTTCAATGAAACATCAATAAAGACAAATCGAGAGCACGGTTCGCAAGCAAGCAGGAAAACAGACTTTGACAAACCCGAAAGTTTGTGCTGCATGTATTTACGCACGTCATACGTAAATACACATGGTGAGTATGTGCGGTAAGGTAAACAAACAAATTTGCTCACCTTCGTTGAGCTTGGTCATGTCTATGGTGGTGTTGTTTGCTTGCAGCGCAGCCTGCAGCGCAGGTAGGAGCTGATGAAGGAGCGCTGGGTCCTGCAGCAGTGCCGGGGACGGGGACTGGATTGACTGAAGCAGCTGCCCGATTGAAGAGGAGGAGGTGGTGGTGGTGGTGGACGTGGAGGAGGAAATTGAGGACATGGTGTAGGTGGAGGAGCCTAACGTGCCAGGGGCAGATGTTAGACTCTGAGAGGAAGAGGAGGCAGAAGTGGTCGAAGAATGGGCAGAGTTGGATGATTGGTCCCTGGATGTGGTCTCTGGGAAAACAGATTTTTTTTTTTTTTTGAGGGGGTTACTAGCATTTATTAATATATAAATATATATTACATCGACTTTATGGGCCTCCAGGCACTAGGTGGCAGCAACTCATACAGTGGTTTGTACAGATATAAAAATATACATGTCATCAGGTTCTCAATATTATTTTAATTTGCTAGGGTGTGGGTCTAAAATGACAAAATTAAACCTTACGTGTCTAAGAACAGAAATCACACTTGGGCTTACTTGTAGTGGCTTTGTCCTGCAAGGCCTCTTGTCTGTAGTCCATGTCTCTGGGGAAACTATTGGCCGAGTCTTTCTGCCTCTGTTCCCTGGAGAAGAATATTCACAACGTAGCTCCAGTTACACTCAAATTCCACGTTTGTAACGTTTTGTAAACTCCTTTCTCTGTTAAAGAACTTAAAAACTTGCCTATCGAGCAGGTCTTTGGGCTTTTCCCATTGGGAGACTTCCGTTCTACAGTTGTAGTAATACTTCTTCCCAGAAGAGCTGATGTGTTCCGTCCAGTCATCTGATGGATCCTGGAGCAGAGAGAAGTACTGCATGTGAAATACTAGCTACTTCAGTCACCATCTTAACAACAGTCGAAACCAAAGAACTCACTATTACATACACCGCCTGGCCCAAAAAAAAAAAAAAAAAAATGTCGCCACCTAAAAAAAAAGGGGTCACACACTCCCACTATAATGCTGCAGCGCACACTACAGCGGTGTGTTGCGCCCCGCCCCGCGCCCGAACACAAAGAGTTGTTTCACTGTCAGCAGGTTTTTTTTTTTAAAGAGAGGAGGAGGGAGCGACTAATTTACTTGGGAAGGAGGACAGGAGAAAGTCAGCCTTTGGTTGAAAAGAAAGGGAAGGGGAAAAAAAAAAAATACCGTGACTTGGAACTACTTCAGCTTTGAACAGGGTTTTCAGTACAGGTGGAAATCTCGCCACCGGTCTGCACTTGTCTCTAAACTCAGACCATGGAAAAAGACCTGGCCTGCGTCTCGTATTAATTCCCATAAATGTGTCCTGCCACGCATCTGATGACAGCGTGACGGCATTTGGAAGATAGGAGTTCGAAACAAGTGTTTCTTTTTTTTAGGTAGTCGGATAACAACGCAGTGCATGTAACTGAAGAAGCCTCTTGGATTCGACAGACGAATCGTCTTCTTTTGAGGAAATTGCCTGACAGAACTCTTAAACCTTAACGCAGGAGCGCACATTACTGTAAAGAAAAATAAAGGCCGTCATCTGTCTTCTGTGTCAGCGTCATCGTTCGGGCTTCGTATGAGAAGCCTGAGAAGATGATCAGAGAGCGTTAAGGAGGCACCGTAGGGCGTTAAATTAGGCACAGGAGCGCAAACTTTACGGCAACATACTATACCTATAACGGACCGAGCAAAATGAACAAGTGGTGGACAGACAAGACAGACAAGTGTTCGATCTCCTCTAGGCAAACAATGCTAGCAGCGATGTCTTTTAGTTTATTTTTGCTGTATTTTTACTGTTTAATATCTTTAGTTTTTATGACGAAAATACTGGAATTTTTAAAAAGAAATTACAGTAAAATACCACAATACAGTGAAACTGAAGGAACACTGTATATATCAAAATTAATTTTGGACTATAATGTCCAGTCCAAACTAAATTCTTTGCATTAATTAAGTTAACATTCAGTTGATAGGCTTCTGGGATAATAATTAATCTTCTGGTTTGATTTTATTTGCAGCTTTCTTCTATCTCGGGTTATTTTTAAATTTTAAAACACGCCATTGTCACATATTGAGTTTTTGACTTTTGGCTAAGAAACTGGTATGGTATTTTTTTTTCCTTAATGGCCCACGTTACACTTGAAAATGTCTCTACCACATCTGCTCTGTACAAGAGAAGACCAGAGGTTTCAATCAAGGTGATTTTTCAGTCTAAGAGAGAGAGGGGAAATGAAGAGAGGGCCAGAAAAGAGAGATGTCTCCCCATGACGCCGGACAGTACTGCAAAGCAGCATGACGCCAATTAATAAAGGATACACTGAAGGTAATTGATCATATAACTCCGTGTAGCCTCTTACCCGCTCTGTAGGCTTGCTTTGAGTGGCATGCGAGTCTGAGCCATGGTGGGCGCTGCTGTTGTTCTGAGAGTTTTCTTGAGGCGAGGCACTGGTTCCTGCAACACAGCCACTTATTAAAGATCTGACAACTTACCGCAGAGGATTGACTTCAGTCATATTCAGCTTCGCAGTGACTTGACTTGGTGGTATTAACATTGGCAGACATGTCACAAAAGTCCTGAATTTCTTACGTGAAAGCGAGCTTCACTACGAAAGCACAGTCGCCGATTAATTAAATGCCCTGTTAAATTATTTCAAATAAGTGTTGAATAGTTAAGTTTTTTTTTTCCTCCCCCAAATTGTGTCTCACCATTTTTTCCTCTGACTGTATGAGCAATCTTTGTCTTGCTTTGCCCCGTGCTATCTCCGTGTCTGCCGACAGGACTTTCATTCGAGCGTCGAAGCATCTTGTAAGGCGGCATGGCATCCACCGAGGCGTCACGCACCTTCTCGTAACGATGAAGGAGGGTGGACTGTATCTTGGGCTGATTTAGAGCGAGTAAACAAATGTCAAATCATTTCAAACGGTGTCCTTTTGTAATCAGGGAAAATGTTAAAATACAGCTCTCTGGCTTCGTAGACGGCTACAGAGTCACGTTACATACATTTCATACATTTTTTTTTCAACAAGAATGCCTAAAATGGCATTTGTAACCTTACTGCACATGGTCAGTAACAGTAAACACTGGCTTGAACATACACTGGTGTAGTAACATTTACAGAGAAAGGCATTGAGTCATTGTTTTTCCCAAAAGCATATTACTTAAAAAACATTAAATTGCATAAAGTAGGAAAATATGTCCCCTTGAAGTATTTACAAGAAATTTCACTTTTTCTCATTTTTTTTTTTACATTGTTTCCATGACAATGAAAAATTGGTTCATTTATTTCCCGGGTTTTCCACTTTTTCTACAACAATAGAAATTCCTTGACTTAAAAGGAGAACGTGTTGTAATTTTGACTTTTCGTTGCGTTGTGCTGAATAAGGAAAAATCTGAGGCATCCCTAGTTTTCACAATAGAATTTCACTTATAGTGAAAACTGCGGACACACTGTCCTCCAAACAAACACCCAACTTAAGAATGCGAAACTGTTTGTTCCTCAAGAAATTAAAAACCTCCCTACTCCCAAAACAATCCAACCCTAACTACAGTTAGACTGCACCTTAACAATGCAACACTGTTGCCAGTGCTGCTATTTTTTGTGTTAATTACAAAATGGATGACGTGTCTATGAAAATTCTCAGTCATCCAGGTCATGGTCACGTTAAGTGGTTGACATTATACATACATGTAAAATTGTTGAACTGTAAATAGTATTACTGCAAATATCTGTAAATACTTCATATTCACTTTATTCCACATTTTGTATTTTATATTGTACTGTGAGTAAGGAGGACACCGTTTAAACACAGTGTATGTCATGTATGTCGTGACTTTGCTTCACCAGATAATTAATGAGCTGTTAAACATGAAAATACTTTCTTTTTTTTTTTAGTTAAATACAAATGTTGTTGCTGCTAATTAATGAGCTCTTAAATATGAAAATACTTTCATTTGTTTTAGTTAAATACAAATGTTGTTGCTGAACACACCTGACAGGGTTGTGAATCCCTTCTTTCGTTACACCTGAGGGGGGGGAGAAAAAACGTAAGTAAGTCTAAAATAGCGTGAATGTTTTGGCATCACAAATGCAATATGCTGTACATCATTTATCGTTAGTTAGCTTGTCAGCTACCATTAGCTCCACTCGTTTAACTGCCATCTTAAAAACAGCCCTTTTGAACGATTATTTACTACTTATTAACGCCTTCCCTTTTAATGTACGATTTCACTACGTTGTTTTTTCTTTTTCCTTTTTTTTGTACATCATTGTAACGTCACTCGCTTCGGCGACAAGAGAAAAATAACTGGGGCCACTTGCTCCAAAGCTATTAGCCGGTAGCAGCTCGCAGCTAACAGTTACGAAAATGAGTGACTGCACTATATACATTTATTAAAATTGTACCCTATATTTTCATTAAAGAACAACTCTGTGGGTGATTTACCCATCGCTTGCTCTTGCTGGTTTCCTCGCATACATCACCATCAAGGCCGAGGTGATGTGTGGGAGAGTGTGAGGGGAAACCGTGGCCTCCTGTCCGTCTGCTCCGCCTCACACTTCTCTTGTCTTCAGCTTTTTGACGTCTCCACCCAGCCTCTCCTTACGCGCAGATACCTACAAACCGTGCGCCGAACAACAGCTCTGCATAACTGGTGGTTTTCTGTTAAAACCACCCTCAGTACATCACCTGGCATGTAGTGGGAAGGTGAGCTGCCTGGCTCAAACGACGTAGTTTAACAGAGCGCATAAGGAACAGGAAATGAAGCAAAACCGTATCCTACGCCTATGCTACGTTTAAATAGAAAAACAAGTTCCGCTTTTACCTACCAAAATTAAAGTGCGAGACACGACATGCATTATACCGCTTTTATGGCTTAGGTAAAAAAAAGGGTCAAATGTTCCAATTACTATATTTGAACATCGCACAAACATCTGGTGGTCAGTTTGGCCTTTTGCTTTAAAGGCATTTCTAAACTTCCGGTCTGCCTTTCGATGTTGTGACGCAGTCAAAACATTATTATTATTATTGTTGTTGTTGTTGTGGTTGGTATTGTTAACACAAATACTAATAAAATAATAATAAAAATAAAAATAGTATATAAATATAAATAGTATTATAACTATATATATAACTATATATATAAAACTAGTTGTTTCATGCATAGCATACATTGAATATATATAGTATATACGTAGCGCGTGATAATACCATGCATTCTATGCATTAAATAACTGTATAATAAAAAATATAATAATAATAATAATAATCTGTTTCAGACTGCTATATGTAGTCCTGGACGAACTATTTTAAATGTTCTCTTACACAGCAGAGTGGCATAAAATTCTGGTACACAGAACACACAAAAAGGGAAACATTTGAGAGAATGATTTCATAATGTCAAAAGTGAACTGTTGTAAGCGGTTATACAAATCACTCTTTGTATACTATCGATTACCTGCCTATTTAATTTAGGTCATATATCGATTGACACCCCCCCCACCTCCCCTTTTTTTTTACACTACGTTCAAACAATTGACAATCTCTCATTCGACAAGTATACATTAATTCGCATGTTATTCTCTTCCTGAGATGGGTTTCTGATGGAAACGACGTGTGGTAAGTACATATTTTATATATCCCGACGTTAAAATGTGGACGCTAGGAGGCAGTACTGGCCCACATTCTACTTTTGCAAAACTAACGAACATTTATTTTATTTACCAAACCATATTCCTTAAGTATTTCTTGTCAATTGCTTATCATTAACGAATAAAAAGCACAATAATATTATATGTATATAAGCTCATTATGAGGAGATATGCGTTTTCCCTTATTTTGTTGAAAGTAAATATTGATTTTTAACTGTGGTGTCGTCCTCATCGTCTGGGCTGTTATCATCCACCATGTCGGAAAAAGAGATGCATACGGACACAGAGGAGGACTACAGGTTCCTCCACAGCATGTTGGTCGAGAAGAAGCTCCATCTTCTGTTTAAAGTACGTAATGTGTTGTAGTGCGTCACAATATGTCCAGTGTATTATTTAACATTTTCTATGTTTTTAAAACACTTTCTTTAACCCTGTAGACCATGATACGGTTTATAGCCTACTTAACATAATGTAGACCACGATGATTATGTTTATATATTATAATAACCGATGTTGTACAATCCCCTATTTTTTTTAATTTATTTATTTTTGCGTACTCCTCACTGCACCGATATCATTCACCATTGTCGCAAACCATATATTTCACACATATATGTATTTTTACTTTAAAAAAAAAATTACACAATACTAATTGTTATCATGTTTTTTTGTGTGTAGTTTACATTTACCCTAACAAGATATGTTAAAAAATATTTACCGGTCTTTAAAACATACTTAAAGACTGTAATGTATTTTATAAAAAAAATTAAAGTAGATTTACAGTTACAGTTGTAGCAGTTTGTACAAGGAAGAACCTTTCGCTTGCAGAAAGAAACTTTTTTTTTTTTTTTTTTAATGATACTTTACTTGACAGATTCACGAGAGACTAAAATGCTTTGAGAAGCAAAGCCCAGTCCCTGACCAGGAGCGCATAGAAAGTCTGGCCTGGAATGTAAGTCACTCTTTAAACATCTTCAGTAGATACACTCATGAAATACAGATATTTGAGGCTCAGTAGCGAACGGCATACTCTCTTTTTTATTATTATTTTTCAAAAAGAACGTGCAATATTGTCTGAAGAGCTCCGATATTGACTTTGGCCTTGCTACATTCTCAAGTAGATATCCTTTTGTATATGTTTGCCAGTACTGAGGTCACTGATGACGGTGGTGGAGCGCAAGGGCTGCTAGAGTCATTTCATTTGTAGTCTAAGGTTTCAGACTGGAGGACTGCAATTAATTTCAGATTTAAGACGAAGTGACATAGACTACTCCCACCACGGCAATGACTCAAAGTGGCATGACCGATACCGTTCCCTTCAGATGTGATCAACCATATTTTACGCTTTTCGCTCCAATCGCCGACAAATCTTTTTTTTCCATTTTCACCAATTTCCTCAAGCCCCGGAGTTCTGTTTCATTATTTCATCTATTTACATCCTCTACTTATTTGTTATTGCTGCAAAAAAAGAACAAAACAACAGGTCTGTTAGTTTGTTTGTTAAACAATTTCAGGGTCCATTAGATGTTTTGTGTCTTAATCTCTTTTTATTAAATGACATATTTGTCTGGAATTTAGTGGCATTTAGATAGATAGATGGATGGATGGATGGATGGATGGATGGATAGATAGATAGATAGAAAGCACACTGTCAATGAATATGGGGAACTTGAACAGTGGATTTTAGTAGGTAATTATTGTTGACGTGTGTGGTGTTGTTGATTGCATTCTCAATTATTATTTTTTATTGTTATTATATTTTTGTTATACCATTGTTATTCTAAACTAAATTAGTATGATGTATTACCCTGGAGATATATATATATATATATATATATATATATGTATGTATATATATATATGTATATATGTAT